GTGTTTTCTGTTAGCAGGGCAGCAGTGTGACTGTGGTTCTGGTGTGCGTTCTGTTCGGGCTGATCGCTCTGGTCACAGCAGGCGCAATCATCATCATCGGTAAGTCAACATGTTCCAGTGAGCGTCCTCACGTCATCAAACCCACAGCACAGAGGATGTTGAACACCAGTGGTCAGTTGGCCGTGACGGAGGTCATGTAAAGCCTTCCCAGACACTCGAGTCCCTAACAAACAAATATTATCCAGTAAATGAAATGTGAAGGTGAATAAATGTTAATGTTATTTCTGGTGTTTTTGTGTCTCTGCAGCCAGAAGATGGAAACAAATCAACAAAATGTAAGTTTCATAATGATTCACTCAGATTGGGAAACACGTTGAACTTCTGCTTTTCTTCATGGAAAATAATAGCAAATACCTTCACCTCTAGCAGCTTGTGACGGTTGTAGTCAATAAAATGTTTCGCAAAAATCGCGACTCAGCAGGGCCGCCATGAGTCAGCAGCTTTACCTCGGGTCGGGAACCTCTCGGGGGGCCTCACCCTGCACTATGTGTTATTGCTGCTTTATCGTAATCTTCCTCCCAGCATCGCTCTCCCACGGTTCCATGTGCTCAGACTGAAACTCACAACCACAAACCTCACAGCAGATTTCTGCCAACGGCGGAGCCCCGAGTCAGAACAGCCGTCACTCAATCAGCGCTCCCACCAGTCGTCACTCCCAACGTCTTCATAAAGGTCATAAACGAACATAATCAGCCCGTTAAATACACGTATCAGTAAACAGAAACCTTCTTTAACGAGCAGCAATGTGTCCAAAGTCTTTGTGTCCTTCCTCTTAACTTTATTGAGATTCTCCAAATAACAAACAGACCTCATTAAATGAACCTAAAGCTGTAACACAAATAGTTCAGAGACTCTGAAGGAAACTTCTCTTTTCCAGTTTATAGCAGTTTGTTTGTTAGACCAATGTTGTAATGAGACATCATAGCCCCGATACACAGTTATTATTCTACAGTTAGAAACCATTCAGCTCCTGTACTTTGAGCTATTCCTTTTATAAAAGCAGGTATTACATTACTCAAGAATTCTCTTTTCCAGTTTGCAAAGTCATTAATAAACGCCACAATGCTCGGAGCAACTTTAAAATATCTGCACACTTTAAACTTTACCTATAATGAAATTATTATTACAAAATTCAACATCTTTGTTTTGCATAAAAACACCAAACTGAACTTTAATAAGTGATAGCTCACTTATCGTGAGCCTTTCTGAAACGGTTACTAAGGTTGGCAACACGTTAAAGACACATTAAAGAGACGTTCATAAAGTGTTTATAAAGTGTTTATAAAGTGTTGCACACAGTGGACGGCATTAACTGAATGAGAAACTGTCCGGCAGCAGCAGGTCGTACTGTTGGTTGAGGTGTCGACGACGTTGCTCCATTTTCTGTGGTGACCCCGTTGTGGTTGCCAATCGTGGTCACTTGCGGCCATTATCTCTCTCTTGTATCACAGCCCCGATCAGATGGTGTCTGTATGGGGCAGAGGTCACTGTAGGTCTGTCATGTTTCTAACTAAAGACGGACAAAGACGGTTTTGGTGAATTATATTTAGTCTCTGTGTTTAACGAGGATCTCTTCGGTAAAATCACTGGTTTTATGAATGGAGTCTGGTGTGAATGGTAGCACTCATTGTTCTGGTGCTCCTCTAGTGGCAGTGAAATTCATATGTTAACCCTTTAAGATTAAAACTGTGCTGTAACTTAACAGGATACAAATTGTTTTGTACATCAGTAGCACAGCAGGGTTAGCTTAGCATCAGAAACGAGCTCAGAACTGGATGATGTCTCACATATAGAACGGGTTCAGATATGAGGTGTAACAGCGATATTCTGGTTTAAGCAGCAGTTAGAGATACATTTGTCAGACAGAGTTTGTGCTAAGCTAGGCTAACCATCCTGAAACTGATATCGTCTTATTTAAGTGTTTACGGTATTCTTAAAGACTTATACAAGAGTTATTTGTCCCAAACCTGCAGCCTTTTATAAACTTAAACTAAAAGCTGAAAGTTCCTGAAAAGCCTGAAGTGTTGGAGCTGAACGCAGCCCGGCCTCCTGCAGGTTTCTGTTAGCAGAAACAGAAAGAGACGAGGCAGCGAGGAGGGAAACCTCTGTGGTTTCCTCTCTGACTGATGTGACATTCAAAGAGCTCGCTGAAGGTCTCCGGACGGAAATGTGAACTGAAGAATCACGTGACCGAAGGACAGGATGCGCTTCATTAATCGGGTCAACCTCAACCTCAAAACCAACTCAGAAAAACTTCCTCAGAAAGACAAAAGAGACAAAATCAGACATAAAAACTAAAAGACAAACACTTTAACACAGAATCCTCAATGGAGTGGGTCAAAGATTATATTTATAATATATTTATTATATTTATTATATTTATGGACGAGGAAACAAATACAGAGAGCTACAATATTCCAGTTATATATTATTATAGTTA